CCCGTCACGTGCCTCCCGTTTGGCACGTGATGGGCCGAACGGGAGGCCCGTCACATGCCGCACGTTGGGCCCGCGAAGGGCCCAACGGAAAAAAACTGAATTTTAACCCAAAAATTCCCTCTAAATACCCCTTAATTCCACCATAAATCCCACATAACAATTCCTTCTCATCTCACTCTCATTCTATCTCTCAACTTGTCTCTTTGATTTTGATTCTAAGCTTTTTTTCTCGTGTTCATTCATTTTCTAGCTCTTTCATTTACAAAGTTCAATCAAGTTCTATCAATTTCCAGAAAATGGCCTCACCAAATTTCCCTGATTTCACTGCTCTTCCTGAGCTTGGTGAGGAGACATTTTTTGGGGAAGAAATGATGCCTTCCAACCCCGCCCCCACTGAACCAGAAAATGCTCTGGTGGATAATGCTTCAGTATACAACGAAGAAGCTGGAGAACGCAGCAGAGGAAAAAGACCGCGAACTTCTCCGGCATGGCAGCATTTCACCGAGGAGCCCCGACCAAATCCAAAAACATGTGAGATGGAAATTCGTGCGGTATGTAAATATTGTAAAAAACACTTTTCTAATAAAAAGGGTGGGGGTACTGGTCATCTGGATAGACATTGGAAAATATGTCTACCATTGCACCAAGGTGGGAGTGTGGACTCCCGCCAACAAACGCTATCACTCACATCACATGGGTTACAAAATTTTACATATGATGCACAATGTGCTCGTGAGGTACTAGCTAAATTTCTAGCTAGTGCCGAATTACCTCTTTCTTTTACAGATGATGCCTTCTTCAAAGAATTCATCCAGACAGCCTTTTGCCCACAATTTAAACGGGTAAGTAGAAACACAACTCATTCTGATTGCATGAAAGTTTTTTATGCAATGAGACAATCTCTTGTTGATAATTTTAGGACTTTTAATGCTACTGTGTCTTGCACTTATGATCTGTGGGAGGGGTGTAATAAAACTAGATATTTATGTGTCACAGCGCACTACGTTGATGACGATTGGGTTTTACAAAAAAGAATAATTGGTTTTCATTTATGTCCATATCCTCATAACGCAACAACTATTTTCAATACAATAATGGAAATTTTTGGGTTTTATGGGATTAAAGATAAAATTTTAACAATTACTTTTGATAATGCGTCAGCTAATACAGCTGCAATTAATTTGTTTAAACGTAGTTTGAAACCGGCATTTGGAGGGAAAATTTTTCATCAACGGTGTGCATGTCACATAATTAATTTAGTAGTTCAGGCATGAATTGAACATATCTCTGCTAATCTTACAAATATTAGAGAATCATTATCCTTCATATCTAGTTCTGGAGCTCGGCTCCAAGAATTCAAACAATATTACAGGAACAGCCAGATGCGCCCAAGAAAGTTTCCAACTGACGTGAGACATAGGTGGAATTCAACATATTTAATGTTGAAGGCAGCACTCCCGTAGTCACAGCTTATCACGACATACGTAAACAGTAAGAACGATCAAATTTTAATTTTCGATCCTGATTGGCAGATTGCTGAGTATTTTTTTAAATTTTTAGAAGTTTTTTACAATGCTACTGAATTACTTTCTGGAGTTTATTATCCTACTGCACATTTAGCTTTACATCAACTATTTAATATTTCAGAAACATTTTCTTAGTATAGGGATACACAACTTTTTGAAAATATAGTTAACTTAATGGAAAATAAATTTAAAAGTTATTGGTCAGGTTGTCCTATGTTATATGCATTGGCAACTCATTTAGATCCTAGGTGCGGAGTAGATGGAACTGAATCATTAATGATTGCTACCGCAGATAATTTAAAAATAGATAAATAACTAAGTATTACTGACGCTAAGAAAATGTTAGAAAAAGTTTTTAGTTTGTATGAAGCAAAATATAGCACAGGTAAAAAAGAACAGGGAACTTCGTCATCAACTACCAGTTCGGGGCCTAAAGGATCGTCGTGGAGTTTCTTGAAGAAGAAAGAGAAAACGGCAGGATCGGCCTCAACACAAGCGTCTGCGGAACTAGTCAAATATTTTGAAGCAAATTTTGTAATCGATGACGACAAACTAGACATCTTACAGTGGTGGAAGAGCAAGACATATCGTTTTCCAACACTGTCCATAATAGCTCGTGACATTTTGATAACTCTAGTGTCAACGGTAGCATCGGAGCAAGCTTTTAGCGCAAGCAACCGAATTCTTGACGAGAAGAGAAGCAGAATGCATCCATATATCTTGGAGGGACTAATGTGCGTTAAAGACTGAGAAGATGCCAGAAGACGAAAATAACACTACATAGATGATTCGAGGCAAGAATATTTTTCTAACTTAGAAATAACAGAATCTTCTGGAAGCACTTATGTTTGTAATTTACTATTCCTAGCTACTGCACTCATTTTTCTTTCGCTAAGGTTTTGTCTCGATCTCCCCACGGGTTTTACTTAGCAAGGTTTTTAACGAGGCAGTCATTTATGTGTACTCCTATTACGTCAATTCAATAAAATCACATCTTTTTGGGCATTTGATATTTTTTTTAATTAAATTTAAAAAAAAAATTACAAGGGCTGGGGCCGGCCCGTAAAGGGCCTGGGCCCAGGCCCGGCCCTGGCCCTTATGGACTAGGGCCAGGGCCTGGACCGGGCCTGAGTTTTTCTTCTCAGGCTCGGCCCAGGCCCGTGATGGGCCTGGGGTCAAGCGTGCCGTGCCGTGCCGGCACGGCACGTTTGACAACACTAAGACGTCCCGCTACTTAATTCTCAGCCGTGCGTAATGACAATGAAAATGTCTCATCCAAACAATATTCTTAGAGATCCAGTTGTCGTTCGAAATAAAGGAACAGAAAACCGTCCGGTAATTTTACACTATTTTTCTGTTTGTTTTAGTCCCTATGTTACGTTTTATCTACTTAACTGTTTCATTTTTTCAATTAGAAGACGTCTGGTTTATGTATTTAAAATTATGATTCAAAATTATTTTCATTTTACGTGTATTTTTTTTTATGAGAGAAAACACTATAAAAAATTATGAATCATGATTCAGAATAAAAAACGAATATAGAAAATAAACGTCTCTTAAGTGTTACATTGTCGTTTTCATTTATTGCTACCAATCTTATGTACAGCCAAAAAATCCAAAAACATTGATGAATTTACTACAATATCCATATTCCTTTATAGAAATAACAACATTACCCAGTCAACTATAGGGTTTAACCTTATACATCCGGTTAATTCTTCAACTTTTTCCAAAAGCCACTCACCACATCAACATTCAACAGCCCCTACAACATGCATTTTATATTATATCAAATACCATATATATCCAAAAGCATTACATGGTTGGGAAGTTGCCGAGGGCCAAATTTGAAGACAGAGCAATAAGCTTTTGGTGGATCAGCACTTACAAGTTTGTGAGTAATTTAAGTTTTGGATAAAATATATTATTCAAAAGGCCAAGCACAGCCAATCTCCAATCCAATCTAGATCTGAGGGTAATAAATATTTTACAATTTTAGTCCCACACCTTTTCCACATGTCTTTTATTAATTTCTTTATTCGACTAATTTGATGTAAATAAATGTACAACTTAATAATTATGACTCTTCAGCTGAATTTTTGTCGTTTCCCGGGAGGTTTTACGTGGAAATTTACTCTTCACGTACAGCGGTGTACGGAGTCTTCCGTGTGGTTTTACGAAACTGCCTGTATAGACTCTCCGAATTTCTCCGCAAGTTACTCCGTTGCGCTTGGCCGTCTTGACTCTTGTTAAATGGGAGACTCCAGGCCAAGAAGTCAACAAAGCGAATCTTTAGTACTTTGTTTGGAGTAAAAATTTATGTTATAATTTAAATTATAATTCATAATTTATTATAATATTTTTTTAAAAAAATATACATAAATTAAAAATAATTTTAAATCATAATTTTAAATTTATAAACTAAACGTAAAATTTACGAAGATATTCTAATCTAGTAAGCACTCACGCAGATCCATTGTGTTGGAGAGAAATGTTCAGCTGCTGCTGAGCTTATGATAACTTTTCCTACATCATTGCCCACTCACATTCCGTTACATACGGCTATCAATATGATCATCATAATTCATATCCCATTAAACTTGCTTCATTTCATATGAGTTAATTGCTATCATTAGAAGTTTCTTACAAGAAATATTATGCTAGTAGTGTATAATCATGAAAATTATATTTATTTTAAGCAAAAAGACATGACATTAACAAAATTTAAATTATGTTGTCATAATAATGCAAAAATATTAATTAATAATAATAACAGAAAGATTTGACGACATCTAATATATACGTATGTATTTGGTATCTTATCAAAAGGGATGCTTTGCAATTGCAAATAAAGAAAGGAACAGGAAAGTTCTCTGTTAGGGGATTTTTATTGGTATTGTGCAATTTTTAACGCCAAATTATATTATAAATATATTCAATGAATGATCCCACAAAATTATTGAAAATCTGGCTTAAAATCACGTAATATATAAAGTACATAATTTCTGTACTGAAGCATGGAATTCATCATTAAAAGAAAAAAAAAAAGAGAGAGAGAATCTAGTTTATGGTCCAACAACCAATCCAAATAAGTTATAACCAATAATCATATCTATTGGTCCCACTTCGCGGAAGGCATGATGTATCTAATTACTGCAGTTATGATAATAACAGAGATAATTTAATAAAGGTTTAGTCATAAATTAAAATTATATAATTATAATTATTTTTAATTTATGTATATTTTTTATAAAAAAAAATATTATAATAAATTATAAATTATGATTCATATCATGATTTAAATTCTCCAACTAAATTTCTTATTTCCTTTCTTATTCTTTCCAATAACAGCAGATAATTTATTGCGTACTTTGTCTCGCCACTGGCTTTTGTCTGTTTCTTGGTTCTTAATAATTTCATAAAACTAAAAATATGAGCTCCAACTAAACCGACTTATAATCTCTAGTTAAAATATATCTCTCTCTCTCTCTCTCTCTCTCTCTCTCTCTCTCTGATTACTTGTCGGGTCGGGTGTGATCTGACACGAGTTCGGGTGCCCCAAGATACTGGAGTTTGATTTCTTCGTCAGAGTCCAATCATGTCCGGTCAAAACTCAACAACCGGACTCTGCTTTAACTCCATCACCGGACATCAACCAAACGGCTACTTTCGCCTTCAAATGAATTGAAAAGCCCTTCTCTGCAGTTCGTCCGGTTTTTAAGCTCTTTTTTTTTTTCCTTCTTTTTTAAGGCGGAAATGAACAAGATGCAATCAGGTGAGTACTAATTTCTGGAATGTTTATATTTCTTTCGAGTTGAGGTTTGTTTCTTTTGATTTTCCCTTTTCCTCTTAAAATACATGTAAAAAAAAAAAGTTTTTCTTTCTTAAGGCTGTTAACAATTTGATTACTTCATGTTATTTTGTATTTCTATGGTTTTAACCTTAAAAGTTTTAATTAATTTTTCTTCATTACTTTTTTTTTTTAATTGAATCGGCTCGCGTTATGAGTTCAAATTTAAGTCTTTACAAGCAATTAATTTGTATAATTCTCGAAATTTGGCACCTAAATGCTTAATTGGTTTTTTTTTTTTTTTTTTTTCCAGTTGTTTTAAATTGTTGATTAGGGTTTGGAATTCCAAATTAAAAGAAAAAAAAAAAGACCTGCTGAATTTAGGTTTAAAATTAATAGGAAAAGGCATGACTTAAATGACTTTGGCTTATTCCACTGCAATTTGCTCTTTCCTTGAAAAGTGTGTAAGAATTATGGTTGAGATGTGAATTATAATGATAATTTTGACAATATACTGTATTATTAATATCCCAGAGTATGATATTAATGAGCTGTATAAAGAAGCTCAGTCCCGTTGGCTGAAGCCCGCAGAAGTGTTCTTCATTTTACGAAATCATGAGAAGTACAAGCTCACCCAGGAGCCGCCTAAACGACCAACGAGTAATGTTCATGATCTTTCGATTTGAATTTTGATTCAAGCAATTTATTGGATCTTGTATGTACTGATGATAGTGTTGTCCGAATTCTTGACCGGATTTTTTTCGACAGGTGGATCGTTGTTTCTATTTAACAAGAGGGTTCTTCGGTTCTTTCGTAAAGACGGTCATAATTGGCGTAAGAAGAAGGATGGGAGGACTGTTGGGGAAGCGCATGAACGACTTAAGGTTTGTTAAAAATTGTCTTGTGTGGTTATGTTTATTGTTCTTCTACGTAAGGGAAATATGTAGATTGCTTCAAATTTAGTTTCAATGTTTTTGGCTTCTCAAGTGATTGAAGCCTTCTATCTAATTCTTGGAGAACTTGCAGAACAGTAAAACTCATTACTTGTGTGTTGTTCTTAAGTTCTAACATTTTTATTTATCAAATAGACTTTGCATTCCTAGTCTGTGGCGGTACATACCCCGTTCATTTCACCAATTCGAGTTTAGAATTCGAGTTTTGCTACAATAAAAAGCTCTCAGAAACAGTCACATCTAACTTTTTTGCTACAGTAAAAAGCTCTCACATAAAGTCACATCTCAATTCGAATTTAGAATTCGAGTTTTGCTACAATAAAAAGCTCTCAGAAACAGTCACATCTAACTTTTTTGCTACAGTAAAAAGCTCTCACATAAAGTCACATCTCAAATCGAATTAAAAAACTTGAATTAGCGAACTAAGCGGGCCCATAAAGTCAAATATTTTTTGTTTTCTTTTTGAAATTACATATTCAAAGTTAGTGATGCAAACGTATGGTGCAAATAAGTAACATTTACGAAAAGAAGCATATAAAAGAATTCCTGTCATATAGAATGTGAGATTTTCCCCTATGAATTCACCAAAAAATGAAAAATGAAAATAGTGGATATATTTAACGTAGTGGATAACTGATGTTAAATAGTTCTGGGCGTTCGAAATGTATGATTATGGAAAATAGTATTTCAAATTTCGGTGCTTTTATCAATGAAATTAAGTGTTCATTTTGCTCGTTTAATGTCTTGTTTCATGCGAATACTTTTTGCTCAGAGTTCGATGAAATTTTTGATTGATTTCTTCAATTTGAGGGGTAACAATTTATATGCATGGCTAGGTTGGAAATGTCGAAACGTTGAACTGTTACTATGCACATGGAGAAGAGAATCATTGTTTTCAGAGACGTAGCTATTGGATGCTGGATCCGTGAGTATTCTTGTATTTATTAGTACATTGGCCTCACCTTTATATGGTTAAGTTTCTTGCTATTCCATCTGTTTAAGTTGTTATACTAAGATTATCATTAATAGAAATTCAACCAGGGTACAAGAAAGTGATAAATTTAGTTTGCCTTCTTTATGATTTGTGCCTCATTGATGTCTTTATTTGTGGCTTTAGCAACTTGATTTGAAGGACTTACACCATATACTCTTATTTGCTTTTAACCCTTGTGGCAGGGCATCTGAGCACATTGTTCTTGTACATTACAGAGACATAACTGAGGTAAGTGTTAGAGAATAACCGATAATAGTTCTCGTGCAGATCTCTCTACAATAAGCTTAACTTGTCATTGGTTTTATTTGCAGGGTAATTCCAGTTCTGGATCTGGTGCCCAATTATCACCAGGATCTTTTTCATCTATCAACCAGAGTCCTAGCCCGAGTAACCCTCAAAATGCAGGCTCTCTCTCCATTAGTGATTATCAGAATTTAACCAGTCCAGGGTCAATAGAAGTTAGTTCTGATCCACTAATCCAAATAAATGGCAAGGATCACAATGGCAGTATAGATGGGACAAGAGAGTCAGGTAGTTCTGCAAAACATGAAGTTAGTCAAGCTCTGCGAAAGCTCGAGGAGCAATTAAATCTAAATGACGACACCTTCAAAGAATGTGGTCCACCTTGTAGTCAGGTTGAAGATCCAAATCTTTCTAATCTCCTGGATTATAAACAGGTGATGTTAAATCAAGATCAGTTTGTAGATTTTCGTGGAACAGAAGATAGTTTACGTGATCAATGTTATTCTGGACATGCTGGGATGCAAGGTAATACAAACCATACCATGCTTCTCAAATAATGTTCTTATTTGTTCTCCATCTTCTATACTCGTGTCAAATGTGGTTGATGTCGTTAACTATTTTTGGTCATTTTGCTTCACATATGATTTAATATGTCATATGACTTGTACTCTTTGACTGTAGTAGGCCTGGCAATTATATACTGATAGGCCCCTTTTGCGTTTTACTTATGCTCGGAAAAGGAGGAATGTGAGGAGTGGAGGAAAGGTTGGGCAGAATGTGGCAGTGGATGATGCCGGGAGTAAAAGTGTTGAGTTGGCGGGAGATGGGGGTGAAAGAGCAGATGAAATCAACAAGGCTACGTAGGCTGAAGAGGGGTGAAGGGACGTTGAGGGTAGCAAAATTTGCGTGAGTGCATCCGGGAGAAGGGACAGTTAGTTAGGAGTAGTATGAAATAAAACCGGAAGGGAAGCTGAGTGAGAGGGCATCGATCATTTTCTATGAGTTTTCTCTATAAAGAGTTGAGCATTAGCTCTAGGGAGTGCTAGGGTCACTCGAATACCCCATATTCTTGTATTTCCATTTCTCTTAATAGAAAACTTAGTTCAAAACTACTTGGATCAATCAAATTTCTTTGCTATTTGTTATTTGTGTGACTGTTTTGTACCATACCCTATCAAATTGGTACCAGAGCAAGTCCTGGATAGCGCCGCAGAAGAAGCCCGAAGAGAAGGTCGAAGGGAATCGCAAGGAGTTTTTGAAGGAGATCGAAGGAGTGAAAGAAGAGATGCAGAAAATTCTAAAGATCGAGAAGTGTCTAGAGGTTATGATGGGCAAGTTGGAGGAGCTACTCCGCCACAAGGTGGAATTTGAGCAGGCGAGGACGGGGACGAGCGCTGAGCCCCCCTCGGGGCAGTCGGTGCTGATGGGAGAGAGCAACGAGAAGGACGGGGCGGGGAAGGAAGAGGCACCGCGTGGGGAGTGCCGTACTCAGAGAGTCGAGGTGCTCGTTTTTGACAGAACCAACCCCGATGGCTGGATTTACCGGACCGGGTTGAGAGATACTTCCAGATGAATCGGTTGAAAGAGGGGGAGAAATTAGAGGTGGTGGTGATGAGTTTGGACGGAGAAGCACTGGCGTGGTTCCAGTGGGAGGACAGCCGCCGCACGATCCGGAATTGGGTGGAGCTGAAGACGTTAATCTTGGAGAGGTTTCGACCCACCCAGGGCGGGAGCCTCTGTGAGAAATTTCTAGGGTTGCGACAGGATATGACGGTGCGCGAGTACCGTCGTTAGTTCGAGATCCCTGCAGCGCCGTTAACAGAGGTGCCAAAGTAGGTGTTGGAGAGGAGCTTCGTGAATGGCCTGAAACCATTCATATAGGCAGAGGTACGTATGCTGAAACCGGTTAGGTTGGGCCAGATCATGGAAATGGCCCAGAGAGTGGAAGACATAAATGTTCAACTGAAAGGGTCCAAAAGCTCAGTGGGCCGTTTGGAACTTGGGCCAGGGCTGGGAACACAAACCCCTCGATGGAGCAAAAGAAGAACACCACATGCCTTGGAAGGACGACTTCGTTAGCTGACAGGGGACCTAACGGCGCCACCATTCCCTTCCGGAGATTGTCCGATGCAGAGTTGCAGGCCAAGCGGGGGGAAAGGACTTTGCTACCGGTGTGATGGCAAGTACACTATCGGCCACTGCTGTCCTAACTGAGAATTACATGTATTAGTCGTTAGCGATGAAGAATTAAGGGAGGATTAGGAAGATGATAAAACCGGTTATTAATGAAATTGTGGAGCTGTCACTTTAACTCAGTGGTGGGCTTGACCGCCCCACGCACTATGAAGTTGAGGGGACTTTGGGAACGAAAGAGGTCGTGGTGTTGATTGACAGCGCAGCAACCCATAATTTCATTTCCACGGATTTAGTGAACCAACTTAAATTGCCCTTAGACACAATCGGTGGTTATGAAGTAGTGATGGGGACTGGGCTTTCCGTGAAAGGGGCAGGGGTTTGCAAGGGAGTTCGACTTTCCCTCCAATCGGTGGAGATTGTGGAGGACTTTTTACCTTTGGAGTTGGGCAGCTCGGACATAATTCTGGGGATGCAGTGGTTGGAGACCTTGGGGGCTATGACGGTGAACTAGAAAGCTCTAACCATGAAGTTCAAGATTGGCGAGTAGATGATGACCTTGCAGGGGGACCGATCTCTCTACAAGACTTTGGTGTCCTTGAAAGCACTGATGATGTCGATAGGGAAGGAGGGGCATGGATTGGTGTTGGAACTAAGCACCATTTCGGTGGAGCGGAAGATGGATGGGGGGTCAACGGCGGAGGCTCCAGCAGCGTTGCTTAGGGTGTTAAAAAAATGGGAGATGGTGTTCAAAAGTGCTACCGGGTTGCCAACAGTTAGGGTAAGAGATCACGCCATTGTACTTAAGGAGGGGACATCTCCGATCAATGTGAGGCCATATAGGTATCCACAGGGGCAAACGGATGAAATTGAGAAGCTAGTTGGCGAGATGTTGGCAGTGGGGATTGTGCAGCCAAGCATGAGCCCTTTCTCAAGTCCGGTGAAGGACGGGAGTTGGCGGTTCTGTGTTGACTATTGGGCATTGAACAAGGAGACGGTGCCGGACTGTTTTACTATTCCGGTGATCAAGGAGTTGTTGGAGGAGCTTCATGGTGCGACCATCTTTTCAAAAATCGACCTTAAGTCCGGTTATCACCAAATAAAGGTATGCGCCGAAGATGTTCCGAAGACGGCGTTCCGCACTCATGAAGGACATTACGAATTTCTAGTAATGCCCCTTTGGATTGACAAATGCCCCCGCTACTTTTCAAGCCCTCATGAATCAAGTTTTTATGGAGTTCCTTCGTAAGTTTGTTCTGGTCTATCTTGGTCTACAGTCGGTCCATTAAGGAGCACAAGGTACGCACTTAGATTTGGTTTTAGTAGAATTGAGCAAACACAGTTTGGTGGCAAATGAGAAGAAGTGTAGCTTTGGACAAGCTACCCTAGAGTACTTAGGCCATATACTATCCAGCGGGGGTGTAGAGGTAGATGCATCCAAGGTCGAAGCAATGGTGCAATGGTCGGGCCCTATGACTCTTAAAGAACTCCGTGGGTTCCTAGGATTGACAGGGTATTACCGTCAGTTCGAAGAAGGGTATGGAAGGATAGCAAGGCCCCTCACCGACCTCCTTAAGAAGGATAATTTCGCATGGAACTCCAAGGCTGCACAAGCTTTCATTGAGTTGAAGGATGCCATGACAAAGGTACCGGTGTTAGCTCTCCCGAATTTCTCCAAGCCATTTGTGGTGGAAGCGGATGCTTTCAGTTGGGGGTTGGAGTGGTTATGATGCATGGGCAGCGACCTATAGCTTTTTTCAACCAAGCTCTGTCCCCTACGGCACACCATAAATCTTTTTATGAGCGCGAGTTGATGGCTATTGTGTTGGCTGTGCAGAAATGGTTACCATACTTGACCGGCATTTTGTGATACAAACCGACCAACGAAGCTTGAAATTCCTCTTAGAACAGCGATTGGTTAGCGTCGAGCATCAGAAATGGTTGACTAAGTTGTTGGGGTTTGATTTCGAGATCCCGTACAAACCCGGAAGTGAGAACTGCGCGGGTGATGCGCTCTCTAGACAGCCCCTGACCCCATCCCTAAATACCCTGGTGGCCCCATTGGTGTTCAATACGGATGAATTACATAAGCAAGTGGAGTTAGACAAGAAGCTCTTGAAAATCAAGGCGGAAGTGATTCATTCGGTGGATTTACATCCCGGTTTTAGTGTGGATCAAGGTAGGCTGTTGTTTGAGGGTCGTATGGTGATAACACATGACTCGCCCTTTGTGTCTGAGCTTTTGAAGATATACGGTGACAGCGTGGTTGAAGGGCATGCAAGTGTCTCGAAGACTTGCAGGCGCTTAGCAGCGGAGTGGTTTTAGTTTGGGATGAAGGACATTATGGCTTATGTGCCGCCTTGCAAGGTTTGCCAACAGCATAAGAGTGTTGGACTCACCGCTCAAGGACTGTTGCAGCCCCTGCCAATGCCGGACCAAGTGTGGGAGGATATTTCGATGGACGCATTGAGGGGCTGCCGAAATCGGATGGATTTGACTGTATTTTCGTAGTGGTGGATTGCCTCAGCAAACACGGCCACTTCATACCCTTGAAGCACCCCTTTACAGCAATACAAGTGGCAAACACTTTCATTAAGGAAGTGGTGCGCATGCACGGGATACCATGAACAATTGTGTCCGACAGAGATCGAGTCTTTCTCAGCTTGTTCTGGACCGAGCTGTTCAAACAGCAGGGCACCTCCCTCACTCGAAGCACAGCATATCACCCGCAAACGGATGGGCAGACGGAGGTGTTGAACCGTTGCCTTAAGACCTATTTGCGATGTTTTGCTTCGGAGCGCCCTCACCAATGGGCCAAATGGTTGCCTTGGTCCGAATACTGGTACAACACTTCTTTTCACACCGTCATTCAGACTACGCCTTTCTGCATCCTATATGGGCGTGATTCCCCTCCTCTTGTTCGTTATGGTGTTGGTAACTCTACTGTGGATTCGGTGGATCGGAAGCCGGCTGAACAAGACAGTATGCTGGAAATTTTGAAGTCTCACTTGATGCGGGCACAACAGAAGATGAAGAATTAGGCTGATAAAAAGCGCAGGGATGTGCACTTCGACGTTGGGGACATGGTTTACCTTAAATTGCATTCGTACAGGCATAAATCTCTTGCCTAGCGCCGCAACGAGAAGCTGGCGCCCCGCTTTTACGGGCCCTTTGAGGTTTCGGCTAAGGTAGGGGCAGTGGCTTATCACCTTCGTTTGCCCGAGGCAGCGGCTGTTCATCCGGTGTTTCACGTCTCTCAGCTTCATCGGGCTGTGGAAGAGGCTGCTGTATCGCCAACTCTCCCTCCTCAACTTTCTGACACCATGGAATTGGTCACGGAACCAGCCGTGTTGCTGGGTGTTCGTGAGGGCCAATGTGGGGACCATGCGGAGTCTGAAGTGCTCATCCATTAGGCAAATCTCCCCCCACATGATGACACTTGGGAGTCGTACACTGCTATTAATGCTCAATTTCCGGAATTCCACCTTGAGGACAAGGTGCGCCTTTGGGCGAGGGGTATTGATAGGCCCCCTTTGTGTTTTATTTATGCTCGGAAGAGGAGGAATGCGAGGAGTGGAGGAAAGGTTAGGCGGAATGTGGCAGTGGATGATGACGGAAGTAAAAGTGGTGAGTGTGTTGCTGAGTTGGCACTAGATGGGGGGTGAGGGAGCAGATGACATCAGCAAGGCTACGTAGGTTGAAGGGGGGTGAAAGGACGTTGAGGGGAGCGGAATTTGCGTGAGTGCATCGGGAGGAGGGACGGTTAGTTAGTTAGGAGTACTATGGAATAAAACTGGAAGGGAAGCTGAGTGAGAAGGCATCGATCATTTTCTCTGAGTTTTCTCTGTAAAGAGTTGAGCATTAGCTCTAGGGAGTGCAAGGGTTTGTATTTCCATTTCTCTTAATAGAAAACTTAATTCAAAACTACTTGGATCGATCAAATTCCTTTGCTATTTGCTGTTTGTGTGACTGTTTTGTACCAGATCCTATCATATACTTTAGGGACCAATAGCTTGTGAGCAAGCACAACTTGTACCGAGGAAAAATCACACACACACAAACACAAGGTGATTTTAAGAAATGACCAGTTTTGGAAGAAGCATTTTAGAAAAACAGTGGAATTTTGAGACTTTAAAAGAATGGTCGTTTTCAGTAAATCAACTGATTTACTACCTAGTAAATAATGCCTAAATCATAAATAATAGATTTATTGAGTAAAATCAAATTGATCTTATATAGTACATAATGAATTTTCAGCGGTTTTCCTCAATTCAGATAAACGGGCCATTTATTTTCAGGCAGTGAATAGCTCCATCCACTCACTGCAATTTCCCAAAAAACAATAGCCACTAGTTGTGAATACTATTAGGGAGTTAGCCGAAAGAAGCTATGTTATACTTAGAAATGTAAGAGCCAGTGTTGAGAACACAAGTGAACAACAAAGAAAATTCATCCGCCCCTGTTTTAAGAAATGAGCCAAGTCCTCCTTGTAGGATCATGTAGTAACTTGAAGTACTAAAGAATGCTTAATCAAATGACAAATAAATTGCCAAGTCAATGTGGGTTCATGTTCTCAGGTTGCATCGATGAAGATCATCATCAATTCTTCGGACAAGAATATACATATGAGAGGAAAGAATCTTTATCCTGGAAAGATGTTCTGAATTCTTGCACCACTTCAGGTGTTGAGTGCCAGCAGAATCATTTATCATCAAGTAGAAATGTGAGTATCATAACAAATTTATAAATGGAATCACTTTCTAACTCTTATGAAAGCTTCACTTATTTATTTTATTACACTTTTACGTATGGTTTATGCCATATGTAATGCACTAAACTTCACACAATGACACGTTGAACAGGAGCCAGGATCTACAGGAAATGCACCAAGAGAAGATCTGGAACACCATCAATGGCAAAATTCCAATGGAAGCAGTGTTGATAATGGTATGATACTATGATATGTGAAACATCCTGGTTAAAAGTTGTTTAGCCCATGTCTTTTTGAATTTGGATTAATACCAAGCTGTGAGTCTCTGACCAGTTGAAAACCTTCATTTATTTTCAGCTTCTCTGTTGATGTGTCAAGGATTTGACGGTTTTAAATTTTCTACATATCCTTCAACTTCACAAATTTATGGAACCAATTCAGACTATTATGCAATGTTGTTTGATCAAGGTCAAATTGCACCGCTTGAATTGGATATGAATTTGACTGTTGCACAAAAGCAGAAATTTAGAATTCAGGAAATATCCCCAGAATGGGGTTATGCCACTGAAACCACAAAGGTATCTTTCTATTATTCTGTGTTTTCTGTTGCTTGCAAAACTGGGTTACCAGATTGAAAAAGGCTAATCAATTCTTCAAAAATACGTAAATACAAATAAAAACTCTTAACGAATTAATGCTAAATCCCTAATTATCCTGATACGAGCAAGTCCTTCCGTAACATCCTTTTTCCCCATTGCAAGAAAAAAAAAAGTACTTTTATGCGTAATCTTAAAGCTCACTTTTTTCGGTCCTTATATGCAGATCATCATTGTTGGGTCATTTCTTTGCAATTCACCAGAATCTGCATGGAATTGTATGTTCGGTGACATTGAAGTTCCTGTTCAAATCATTCAAGAAGGGGTAATTTGTTGTGAAGCGCCTCCTCACCCTCCTGGAAAGGTTACTCTATGCATAACTTCTGGAAATCGAGAATCTTGCAGTGAGGTCAGAGAGTTTGAGTATCGTGTTAAGACTAGAAATTCTATTGAAGGAGATTTATCTTCTCTAGAATCAACTAGGAGTCGGGAAGAGCTCTTATTACTTGTAAGATTCATTCGGATGCTGTTGTCAGATTTGTCAATGCAAAAAAGAGGTGTCATAGATCCAGACGCCCCAAATAAATTCAAAGCTGACGATGAACCATGGGATAGTGTCATAGAGTCCCTTTTACTTGGTAGTGGAACTTCATCAAGTACTATTAATTGGCTTCTTGAAGAGCTTCTGAAAGAAAAATTACAGCAGTGGTTATCTTCTAAATCCCAGGACCAGCGCAATCAGACAGGATGTTCATTGTCCAAGAAAGAGCAAGGGATAATTCACATGGTTGCTGGTCTGGGCTTTGAATGGGCCTTAAACCCTATACTTAGTTCTGGAGTGAGTATAAATTTTCGCGACATTACTGGATGGACTGCTTTACACTGGGCGGCTCACTTTGGAAGGTAATAGAAATTGGATTGTTTTCATTAACTTGTTTCTTCAACCGAGTAAAACCATTATCTTGCACGAATTACTTGGTTTTATGGCGTCATCATTTAGCACTAGTTTTCTTTCGTTTGTGGTTAAGATGGATCACTGAGAAGGTTGTCTCTGTTAATTACCGGTTATCTACCACTGAAATGATATTAATCCTGTAACAGGGAAAAAATGGTTGCTGCACTTATAGCTTCTGGTGCATTTGCTGGAGCTGTGACGGATCCCAATTCACGAGATCCAACGGGTATAACAGCAGCCTCTGTTGCGGCCACCCATGGGCATAAGGGACTTGCCGGTTATCTTTCAGAGATGGCATTAACCAGCCACTTGTCATCCCTTACCTTGGAAGAAAGTGAGCTTTCCAGAGGTTCCGCTGAGGTTGAAGCAGAGAATACCGTAAATATCGTATCGAAGCAAAACCTCATCACAAATGAGGATCAGCTTTCACTTAAACATACCTTGGCTGCAGTCCGCAATGCAGCTCAGGCCGCAGCACGTATACAATCTGCTTTCAGGGCACATTCTTTTAGGAAACGACAACTGTTGGAAGCTGCCGATTCTGTGGATGAATATGGAATGAGTTCTGAGGATATTCAAGAGCTCTCAGCGATGGCAAAACTGAACTTTAGAAACCCACGTGATTACAATTCAGCTGCATTATCTATCCAGAAGAAATATCGGGGGTGGAAAGGCCGCAAGGATTTTCTCGCATTCCGCCAGAAAGTTGTCCAGATACAGGTGCAACATTTTCTATGAGATACGTACTTGAGCCATTGAGACTTTTCTAAGTAGTTTAACAAGTTGTCAACTTCTCTTTTCTTTGCAGGCTTGTGTGAGAGGTTATCAAGTTAGGAAGCATTACAAGGTGATCTGTTGGGCGGTTGGGGTTTTAGAAAAAGTGGTACTACGGTGGCGAAGGAGAGGATCTGGTCTGCGTGGTTTTCGACCCGAGACAGAGCCTATTGATGAAAGTGAAGATGAAGATATTCTCAAGGTGTTCCGCAAGGAAAAAGTTGATGGAGCAATTAATCAGGCTATCTCACGGGTACTGTCTATGGTTAAGTCCTCAGAGGCACGTCAGCAATATCATCGCGTGCTCGAGAAGTATGGCGAAGTTAAGGTACACGAGCAACGTTTATTAATATCGAACAAAATGACCTCTAAATCATGCGTGTCCAGGAAACTCTCTTTTACTTGTTTAAGATAATAAGTCATTGATCAACTTGCCATCATAGTATTTGTCTCAAGTAATTAAACAATCCTCTTCGTTGAAGGGTCATGTAACTTGTGAATTCTGCAAACTATTCTTGCAGGCTGAACTTGGCGAAACCAGCGATGAAGCAGAGTTATCGACCGATCTTGATGATATTTTCGGGGTCGAAGATATCAATCTGTATCAATTCCCATAGTACCAACCTCTAATCAACCTAAGTTGTCTGAAATTTACAGGCCAAAAGTAACCTTGGTAGATCTAGACATTCGTTATGTACAGAGTAGAATGGGCAGCTCTGGTGATTTGGGTTGATGGATTGGTTTCCTTTATATTGGTGCTGTAAATGCTTCTTCCTAATAATTGCAGGTGGACGGATTTTTATGGTAGTGTTGAGTGTGCTTGTAATCATCTGATTGTTTCTTCAAAGTAGCAGGCACTCTTATGTTAATACGGTTCAATATCATACGCAAAGGAAAGGGTTTAAAGTGAAGAAAAGTTTTGTGTAGGGAACATTGTAGGATTGAGAACGTCATGTTATGTTTGAAATTTAGTGGAAACCTATCATTACATGGAGAGTTTTGTCCCCCTCTTCCTTACTATAGAATTTAATTTTTCAGATCAATGCATTTTATTCTAATATGACAAATACAGGTGCTAGAACAAAATTTTCACCACATGGACAAGTTATTTTTTTATTTATTAATATTTCTTATATTTATCACTGATTAATTCTTTGTTATTAATTAATATCAGTTAATAATTTATCAAAATCAGTTAGTAATTAATTGATTTCAATTAAATTATAAGTTTATTAATGATAAAGCACTGATAAATTATAGGTCAATCTCTCAGTCTCAGTTCTTGCATTTTTATTCCTTATACTTTATTAATACATATATCCAAACAAAAGCAGGACTACCTAAAACGACAAGGATATTGACGTCGTATCAGTAACTTTGTACACCGGCCATCGCAAGCCCCAACAAGGAAAAAGCAAAACGACTAACCACTAACGCCGAGCCACGATGGGCACAAGCCACGTGTCGTTCGCGTATGGCCAAACATGCCAATTGTCGAACTCCAAAAGGTTCGATTTTTGTATTCACCGAATCATCCAGCCGAAGAATCCAAACTCGCAAAGTAAGAAAATTTCCTTTTCTTTGATCTCTCTCTCTCTCTCTCTCTCAATCAATCAATCAAAAGCCATGGATTCTGGAGATGAGAATGTGGAGCTTCTGAATGTCGCGATCCAGAGGCTGATTGAGGAGAGGAAGAAGAAGTCAGAAATCTCCGGCGATGATCATCATGACGACGATGAACAGCTCCTTCTCTCCAGATTGCTTTCTCAGGTTTTTTTTTGTTGTTACTGGATTTTAATCATAATTACTTTATTCTTACGGATCTTAGAGGTTCTAGCTGTATTAGATTCTCTATATTAAAAAATAATAATAAAAAAAAAAGTCTCCATTAATTTTATATGATGGTTGATAATTAACATTTTTTACGACTAGACTAAACAACACTTGTATGTGCTAATTAAGATTAATACTACTTAAACTCACACGTTAACTTGCTAGATTCAACTTAATCATTTGTTTTCTTTTCAGTTCACATGCCTCAATAATATGTATGTAATTGTTATTATTCATTTGGCTGGTAAATTTGAGTAATTCACATTAGAGAGGACGAAAAATAGTGTTTTTCAAATCAGTATTCTATTATTCAACTGCAGTTGGAATCACTAAAAGCAGCGAGAGCTCTTGACAAACCCGAGGCTTCAAAGGAAGAAACTTGTAGTAGGGATGGTGGAAAAGAGATAAAGAGTGATCAAAATGCTGGTGGTGAACGTGATGATATTGACAAAGAAGAGATTGTGAAAGAAGTTAAGAAGATCAAGAAACAGAACTCTGTGACTCACTGGCTTCTCTCTATCATGATTGTCGTCACTGTTGCTTGGCAAATATCCGAGGTGTCTCTCATTTTGAAGCTTAAAGAAGGAGTAAGTGAAGGAATAAGGAACCCGTTTCGGTACCTGGGAGGTATGCTTGCAGGGATGTTGAAACGCCCTCAAACTGGGCAGCGTGAGGATGAAGACAAACTCAGCCACATTGAAGCTCCTCCGCTCAAGATTCCGGAGATACCGCGCGTGGAATTGCTGGATTTGAGTACCAACGGTAATTGAGATTGATGTAGTCCTTTGTTTTTAGGATTTACCTTGAGCATCTCTCTTCCTGATTAAGAAGAGAGAGAGGTTCCAAAAGTGCAAATACTCGTCTTTCAAATTCTTTGCTTGTGTAATATGTTGAAAGGATTGAGACCATTTTTTGTTGTTCGTTTAAGGGATCTTTGATGGATTACCTTTTGTTACGTGAATGATATGTTCTATTCTTGTTTAGTATGATACCTCCACATTTTATGAAGAGACAGGGCGACTCTAGCAGAGCCATTTAGGTCGGATAGAATATTACACAGCAAGAACAAAGAGCAAAGGAAAGAATACGTAAAAGGCCCTGCGAGTCATTGAAAACTATGTTACATTGTTATTGCAAAAGAATATTGCTCAAAGTTATTCCCTTTCTTTTGGGGGGCTTAAAAGGGTGTTATTCCTTTGATTTTCTTCTTTCCTTTTCTACATGTCTTTCTTTGGCCGGGAAAAACAGCAGCAGTTTTTCTAAACGTTGGTTGGTCTTCATATGCTGAGAGAGTCGGAAAAAGAAAGAAGGTTCTCTTTTATTCTATTCTGTTTATTTAGGTTTTCTCTTTCTGCTGGAGCCTGGAAGTACCCTTTTTTCCCAAGTGCGAAGAAAAGAAAGATGCGATTTGGACTTAAACAATTACGTCGATCACATTTCAAAAGAGAATAAGGCTACTGGCACTCAGGCTCGTAGCCATGAATACAGTAGCATTACTTGTGAAGGTGACTGGGAACGTATCAAAATGCCATTCTCCAAACAAACCAATCTCCTGCTTTATAAAATATTATGAAACGGATTATGTGACATAAACCAAAATAACTAAGATATGATTGGCAGTGTAAGCTGACTCAATACTAGAAATTGAACTTGTTTTGCTAATGATACTAAAAATTGAACTTGTACGAAAATGCATTATATACCAACAAAAAGGCCTTGGAGCCTTGAATACTGAATTCATTTCAAAAAGTTCTGCAGGAAAGCTTCATACATCCATTCAACCAATCACAACCAGGAAACTCTGAATTCCGGAGATAGGACAGGCACATTGCAAAAGGTTAAAACATAACCAACAATTTCAATTAAAAAAAAAAATCCCACTTTCCATTTGAGATGTCTAAAGTAAAACAGTAACTAGCAAACTTGTTTCATTTCCAGACAATTGACTATAAAACCCCCGCGGTTTTGTTGAAAAAGAGCAGTCGTGTTCAAGCATAGTTCAACCGAAAGATGTCATTCAAGACATAGAAGCTGCCCGCCGCTGTTGGGATCAAATGGAACATCTGAAAATGGAAACCATGACAAGAAACTTGGTTACCCGACGGAAACAATGGCATAACAGAAAGGACAAACAAAAAAGAGGGGCATGATATAGTCCAGGAAACAAATCAAGCAACCCCAGAATGCAAATATGGAAAGATGAATCATATCACCAATAAAGATTGAAGAATAGTTAACATAAACACCAATCAACATACGTTTCCTTCAAAAGAAAAGAAGCATGAGAGGGTCCAAGTTTCCACCTCCTTCACCCTTGTAAATTATGTATATACATACATAGCATTGCAAGAGACTATTACTTAACTAGGAAAAAATCTCACAAAGCAATCCCAAAAATATCACCAAAAACTATCCCATTGGAAACACACATACCACAATACCATCCAAACGAATAGAAAACATTTTTACCAAAAAATATGAATAAAAACAACATGAATCATAGATTATTTATAAAATTGCTGGAAGACGAGAAATCCCGAACAAATAAGCTCGTTTTCCCTAACAAATACGAAGTATTTATAATGAAAAAATTCCGGTGATGTGAAAGCGAAGCCTATAGGCTATACTGGAATTGCATCTGCATAGGATTCGAAAACAAACTAGCAAAATCAAAATCGAAAGAACATTTGTGAAGATGTGGAACACAATGATTATGAACCGAATACAAAACAGCTGCTGAAGTTTAGGAAAAATGGGCCCTAGATTTCTAGCTTGAATATCAAGTAGATCAAGAGGTAAAAATCAAAACCCTAACCACTCCAAAACCAGATAATTGATAAATGATTTTTCCAGTCCAAACGAATTCCCATTAACAACAGATCAAATCAACAAACGCCAATCCGAAATTTACCGTAAAACCATAACAAAAGCAAATCAATCAATAAATAGACGACCTGGCTGAACTTGAGAGCGTGCTGCTCGCCGGCAAGCTGGAGGTTGCCGGAGACGAAGACGAGCATGCCGCCGGAGGGGCCAGAGGGCTGGCAATCGACGGTTGAGATGGAGTGCTGGCACTGCTGGAAGGGAAGAGAAGTGAGCTTAGCAACGATGTTCTGAGAACCCTGGATCTTCTGGCCTTCGAAGGTCAACATGGATTCGTTCTGGTAAAGCGTCCCCAGATTAGCACGGTTCGAGTCGAACGTTGAGTAGTAGTGCTCCACGAATGCCTTCGCCACCGCATCTGGATCCATCTCCGCCGCTGCCGCCGCCGCTGTTGCTGCTTAGGCTTAACGCTAACACTCGCCGCAGAAAGAGAGAGGGGGAGAGAGAAAGAGAGGAGAGAGAAGGGGGGGAGGGGGGTTATATATATTACTCGTGGGAAATGACGAGACGAGAGCTGTTTGGAATTGGTTCAAACGTTTTTGTTTTTTTTATAAAAATAAAAATAAAAACGTTTTTATTTTTATTTTAGAATTATTTTTAAAAATGCGTTTGGTAATTTTATTCTGAGATTATTTTTAATTTTAAAAAAAATAAAAATTGTGTTTAGTAGTTTAATTTTTAAAAACATGTATATAATATTAAAATTAATAATATATAAATAAATATATTAGCCACAAATTAACACATTTGAAAAGATAAAAACGTTGGGTGCGTTTGGAATTTGTTCCAAAACGTTTTTATTTTTTGTATGAAAATGAAAACAAAAACGTTTTTATTTTCATTTTGGAATCATTTCTGAAAATGGGGGGGGTGCTGACACCAGCTGGATGAGCGACAGTGGGCGTTCTCCGGCGTCTTCTTCGGCTGGAGAAGAGAGAGAAGAAAAAAAAAACTGAAATCCCTTTTCAGAAAACGAAAACGTGAAAATGAAAACGTATTTTTTTCGTTTTCAGTTTTTCACAAAAAGACAAAAATGTTTTTGTTTTTGTTTTCTAATACAAACTTCGCCAAACGCGTTTTTCATTTCTGTTTTCAATTTTTTGCTTCAAAAAACGTAAAAAATGAAAACAAAAACGGTAACAAACAGGCCCGAGAGATCATTGTATTTATACTCGTGATTTAATTAATTATGGGAAAATAGAGGATATAGCATATTTTATAGATACTTTTGAAGCAAATAGCATAATATATCAAACTTTGTAAATTAAAGTATATCATTCATGTTAAATTGTTTGTTTCCTAAATTTACTTTTAAGATTTTTTCTCTTCTCATACTCTCTCCATCTCGCGATTTTTCTCTCCCTCGTCATCTTCTCTTTCGACTCTCTCTCTTTAGTCCCTTTCGCTCCTCTCTCTCCACCACGACTGTCCGCGACCCTATCTCCTCTGCGGCTCTCTACTCCTCCGCCGCCATATTTCTCAGACATTGATGAACTTCGATCGCGAGTGTCATTAGATCTAGCAAGCGCCATGGTTGAGATCGCATCTGTTGCGAACTCCAAGTGTTGAGAACGTGAACCAAAGATCATCGCGAACCATTGTCGAGCAAGAAGACCGAAGCCACATTCGTAAGCCAAATCATACTGATCGCGAACAGATCTTGTTACAGATTCACCGATTTTGCGAAACATTATTAGAGAAGAAGACTGAAGCCACGCTCGCAAATCAGATCGCGTCATCGTGAACAGATCTAACCAGAGATCTCGTCGGGTATCTAAACTAGCCCTCATTCACTTCTTGAAATTTCTACCCGGGAAAGAATAGCAAAGATTGACAAACGCCGATGCTTGTCGCGAATCTGAAATGTGATTTTTTGTGATTTTTTTATGATTTTGAGATCTGGATTTTTTTTTATTTTATATTTTTGTAGTTTCTGAGATTTGAGGTTTTGATTTTTTCTTTTTTTGTAAATATGAGATCTGTGATTTTTTGTGAATTGGTAAATATTATATTTACCAGTAAATGCTTCATTGAATCTAGTTCTCAATTTGATAAATACGGTATTTACTAGTCGTCAGAGTTAGTTGTTAGATTTTTTAGATAAATATGGTATTTACCGGTAAATACGGTATTTACTAGTCCCTGGAGCCGATCACCAAATTTTTGAATAAAAATAGTATATATGGTATTTACCAGCAAATACAGTGTTAAACAATCGTTAAAGTCGGTGGTAGAATTTTTAGATAAATACGGTATTTACCGGTAAATACAGTGTTAAACAGTCGTCGGAGTTAGTAGTTGAATTTTCAAATCAATTCGATATTTACTGGTAAAAACATTATTTATTAGTAAATACAATGTTAAAAGGTCGCAAAATTGGTGCCTAAATTTCAGATAAATATGATATTTATTAATAAATGCGATATTTATTAGTAAATACAATGTTAAACTATCACCAAAGTTGATGGTCAAATTTTTGGGTAATTATGATATTTACTAGTAAATACGGTATTTATTGGTAAATACAATATTTACCTGTAAATATAGTGTTAAATAGTTGCAATGGTAAATACGGTATTAACCAGTAAATACAGTGTTAAATGGTTGGCAAAAAATAGTCACAGGTCGCCGAAAAATGGTCTATGGTCGCTGGAGCCAGCCACGAATCCCGATCATGGTGAACTTGACTATAATCTACCTATTTTAAAAAATATGTTATAATTTACTATTTTTAAAAAAATAGATGTTTAGAGAGAGGAGTGAGGTGGAAAAGGAGGTTTATGAGTATTTTTGAGTTTTTAATAATGTTTAAAACTTAAAATATACAATTATGCTACAATTTACTATTTAAAAAAATGTTATAATTTACGTTATTTCCCTCATTATCCCTTTAATTATTATTGTTATTATAATTTTTGGAATACATATTAGTTTTCGGGCCTTTGTTAAGAATTTAAATCCATGGGCTTATTTCTCTTTTGTGGCCTTTCTCCATTTTGTCTAATTTCGTTTCTGTTTGTTTTGATGAAAACACATCGGTTCTAATTAGTGTTGATCAGTATTTTTATTTTTCTAAATGAAAATTATGTATGCAATCATTTTTTTTTTTTTTGGTTATCTTTACATTTGTACCACTCAAAATATAAATTTGCACCGTTTAAACTTATCTTTACTGATTTATTTAACTATGTCACTTTAGTTAGTAAAATTTTAAGTGGTACCTTTTATTTTCTCCTTTTTTAAACCAATTCGAAATTGACATGTATGACTATATAGGGGCTATAAATTATAGTTCGTTAGTAACTTTCAAATTGAATACGAGAATTTGTGATTAGTTGAAAAATGAAAAGTGTGATAATCACCATTAAAATGAGTTTTTTTTTTAAAAAAAAAAAAAAAGAGAATTCATTTTTAAGAATGCATGAGTCTGGACTTTTATCTCGTACTCTTGATAAATATCATTTTGTTAGTGTAATTATTTGACTAAAAAAAATTATGAATCAAGAATAAAGAGTAAAAGTCATGACTCATACACTTTTAAGAGATATTTGTCAAGATTAGTCGATGTTTTAATACATGCAATGAGGTTATTAATTGTATCCACATAATCTTAAATTGTATTTATTTTGAAGAATCATAAATAATAAAGGGGAAAAAGGTTCGTTTCACTTTTTATATTTGAGTAAATTTATAGTCTTTTTGAGAAGATAACTAAATAGTAATTGCAGTCAACTAGAAAATTATGAAATATATGAACTAAAGAGATCGTGATTGCAAAAAAATTAAGTCAACGTCCGCAAACTTCGAATCTGAGCCAGTCTTTTACTTTAAAATCTCTTTTTGAATGAGAAAAGAGATTAGTGCGAAAAAAGAAAATAAAAGAGAAGAAAAGAGTTGGCAAGTTTATAAGTAAATTACCTCTTCAATAAAGTTTGTAAATGCCTTATGCCTCAAAATCAATGAGTTACGTGAAACACGTTACAACTATTTATTTTATCAAAATTAAGGGAAAAAAATCAATGGAGAATTCACCAATTGAAAAAAAAAAAAAAAAAAAAAAAAAAAAAAAAAAAAAAAAAAAAAAACTAAAACCTTCCACGATCAAGATACATTTTTAAACACTTCGATTGACAATGACATAGTTTGGTACTCACTATTGAGTCCCTGTGAGCATGATTGATGCATATGTGGAAGCTGCGAATGGAAGTGCAAATTGCAGCTTTTGTACTTTTGTAGACCATCAAAATTGGCGTTACATATTAATATCAAAGCATGATCCCAAGTCAAATCTCCAAAACATTTGCAATAATGACCCTCTTGGAAATGCAGGGCATTTCAACTTCGATTAGAAAAATGTACTACTTCTTGAACTTACTTTACACAGTAAGAAATGTAGAATCACAGATGCCACAAGAATCAAGAGTATTTCCAATTTCGTACACTATATTAGTTACATCAAGTTATGAGTTTACACAATCTTTTCGGAATTCTTGGGAAAAAATTTAGAATAGGGGAAAATGAACTCGCTAAGATTACACCCTTCTTTTCCCTTATTGTAAATGATGAAAGGTACATATTGTTCATTTTCCCCTTTGATTCTGAAGAAAACAAAAAAATAAAAAGCTCTAGTTTGAATCTTTCTATCGAAATGAAACCTTCTATGATACACTACATTCGAATAAAGGGTGACATTTCTTTGTCCACTGTATCTCTTGTTATTATTAACATTGCGAGGAGAATACAAACTCCGAGCTTCTATGGTACACCAATGTCGATGTACTTCTGCATTGTTTTGAAGTAGAAGTTCCGGATTTGAAGTCACATTGAAGAGTTTTACTGGAATCCCAAATCCCAGATTTTAAACTTTACAAGGAAAAATGAATCTGCTTTGAGATCTCATCACCTTGGCTCATAGGAAAATGAACACAATCACCTTGGCTCATAGGAAAATGAACACAAACTCAAATTTCAACCAATCTATCAAGCAGGGCCCTTCTATATACACTCATGCCACAAAGCAAACTTTTTCTCTGGAGAGAATTAAAGGAAGTCAACAACAATGTAATGGACAACTATGGTATATGCAACAATTAAAATCTTGGTTAGTGGAGAAACTTACTCATGAGAAGAAGTATGAGTCATTAGACGTTCCCAAAATTTCTTCGAAGACCAACTCGTGCTTATGTTGTCACCGTGTTCATTAGCATGAGCATCTCTAGATGTTCCCATTTGAAGAAGCAAACTGGAAAAAGCGCGAGACTTCACGGTAAAGCTGCTCGGCTTCAAATGGTTTGGAAACATATCCATCCATTCCAGCATCTGCACACGCCTCGTGCGTGGCCTGAATCACATCCGCAGTCATGGCCAAAATGGGCACGTGCCAATTCAAAATATTTTCACAAACTTCTGCAGTAGTGACTTCTCCATGTTGAGTTCGATCATTAAAATCCTTTTCCATTGCACGAATTGTCTTTGTAGCTTCAAACCTATGGGCCAAAAGGATTAGATACTTTGCTAAAGATTGGATTAACTAGCATAATAATAATTAGTAAAAGACTGCTTCTATAGAGATTTATTGAGAATAATAACATTAATTTTCAAGTTAAAAAAGGCATAAAGCAATACTGATTATCACATACCCATCCATCCCTGGCATCTGAATATCCATGAAGCAAGCATCAAAATTGTGGGGTGGTTTAAGGAGTTTGATTGCCTTTATTCCACTGTCCTCGCAGACCACATCGGCGCCATATCTTTTTAAGGCACCGGCAGCGACTTTGAGGTTAACATTATTATCGTCAATGACGAGAATTTTTCTCCCGCTAAGAAGATTGCGGAGAGATAATCTGGAAAGCTCTCCGTTACGGGGATTATTATTACCCTTGTTACTAACACCAATTGCACGTTGTAGTGAGGCAGCAAGCATACTTACCCTTAGGGGCTTCATGATGACAATTGGAGCATAGACACCGAAACTTGCAGCATTTGCCCTAGGAGAGCCGATGGAATTTGCAAGAAGAAACAGTTTTGGAGAAATCCCTTGATCATTTTTCGATTTACTAATAGCAAGAGCTTTACCCCCTGAATCCTTATCCCAAACTTCCTGTTCAACAAGGATCATATTTACAACTGTGTTCCCATTGTTTAAGATCGACATACACTGATTCAAATCAGGAGCTACTTGAACATAAATTCCTAGCCGTTCGATATGGTATCTTGACACCTTTGCCCTAACAGCTCTGGGGTCCACAAGCACAGCTCTCATACCCTGAAATTCTGAGGATGAAGTGCTTGGCTGGTTGTTGGTTTGCTGGCTCTTATACTCATTTGAATTGCAGCAGCCATTGGTAAAAACAGCGGTAAACGTGAAGGTGGATCCAATCTTTGGAATGCTCGAGAAATTAATTTCCCCATTCATGAGACCAACCAAGCACTTGCTTATGCTCAGCCCAATACCCGTTCCCCCATGTGTCCGGGAGATGGATGGTCCGACTTGCATAAAAGGAGTGAAAACACGTGCTTGGGCTTCTGGAGGGATCCCTACCCCTGTGTCTTCAACAGAAACAATGAGGTTGATGTGGTCAGAGGACGATGATGAGACATGGCAAGTGGACCCCTCCTGGCTGAAAGCTCTAAATCCTGTCCAGCTAAGACGTCTATCCGCAACACGAAAACCACTCAAGGTGTTCTTCGAGGAGGTTTCAGTCTCAACATCAATTGAGTTGATCAACTCCTCGACAAGATGAACCGTGACGAAGATGTGCCCTTTCTCTGTGAACTGCACATCATCCAAACAGTTCCATTGCTTACTTCGGTGAACAGAATTTGCGCCTAGATTTACATTTTAGTTTATATAATACCATTATGAACGGAGAATGGTTTGCAAAATAAGATTTTCAGATATACATCACTTTCTTTCAATATCACCAATCTGTTTTTAATTATTTCTTTTGAAACGCAGAGATTGGAACTCAACTTTAACCACAAAGCACTACAGTTTGAACATATTCTGATAGATTGCAGAATTTGATTTTCCGAAGCTTAGAATCCAGACTATATACTTACTTTGATCGAGTTTCCCATAAGATTAGTGATAATTTGACGAAACCTTCCCGGATCACCGATTAGCATTTCAGGAACCTGATCCGAGATGTAAACTGCCAACTGCTCTTTCAACAAATTTTGTCATGCAAATTCCAAAAAGTCAAGATATCAGGCAACGAAGAATTAAAGAAGCCAACAAAATTAGGGAGAGGAGCTGGATGAGAGGGGAGGGAGAAGGCATCAAAAGAAGGAAACATATATTACCTCTATTCCTTTCTCTTGAGACTTCCCAGAAAACAGCGACAGAACATCATCAAGAATTGCCCGCAGGTTAAAGCGCACTGCCTCGAGTTCAAGCTTACCGGATTCAATCTTTGCCTGATCCAAAACCTCATTTATAAGTGAGACTAGCGCTTTACCACTAGCCTGGGCAGTTCTGACATAATCTTGTTGAGTTACATCCAGATCTGTGTCCATAAGCATATGCAGCATTCCTGAGGAAAGAACCGAACTACCATGTCACTTTATGTCGAGCGTACCTTGGATATTGTCTTTCATTCTAAAGATTCAGATGTAAGTTGAGATCAAATAAATAACAAATTGCGGAACTCACCAAGGACACCATTCATCGGAGTTCTGATCTCGTGGGACACAGTGGCAAGGAACTACAGAGGATTCAAACTTGATTAGGGAAAACATGTGTACAGAAAATCCGACAAGAAATGTTTATTCCGTGACTATCAAGTAGTAGATACCTGGGATTTCGCAACATCAGCTGCCTCGGCCCGTTTTTTGAGCTCCATCATTCCATGGTAATCATCCTCCACTTTAGCAATTCGGTTTATAGTTGCATGGAATATATAACCAATAAGCAAGGCAATCACCAAAATTCCAAACGAGGTTGTTATTGCTAACCACGGCCATGGCGGCTTATGCTTGAACCTGAATTAAGAAGGAACTTGGTTTGTGAAATGACCAACCATTTTACACTCCAACTACGAACGCATTGAAACTTGCACAGAAAGCTATGGTTACTAGGGTACAAGTAACAACAATGCAGCCTTTATCTAGTGATGAAGAGACCCATATGAGATGAAAGCTCGGACCAAAGATACCCGAGAAGAATTTTATTAATTACCTGCAATGCATTTCATGCTTCCTGAAAGGATCCCCAAAATTTAGGCTGCTGACATGCTGCAACCCATCATCCGTAACATTTGAACCATACATGCTGATTGGGTCCGAGTGGTTGGTAGTGTCATACACATTCACAAGTATGATTTGCTTGCTTGCAAGTTGTTGCAGTAACTTCTCCACAAGTGACTCGATATCAAATATTCCACCAAGATACCTGCTTGGCAACAGTCGGATTACTAATACATCTCCTTTGTTATTTTACCAATAGACTACTTATTTCACACTTTCAGCATGCCTTCATATTTGGTCACAAATTGAAGGTCGTTACAATATAATTAAATACCAATAGAATTTTCAATTTGTAGTTTCTTTCCCCCCCCCCCCCCCCCCCGCCAGCGACATTTTAAAAAAAAAAAAAAAAAAACTAAAAA